GATACTTTTTCATTACAGCAAAGAAATGCTTGCATGGCAGAAAGTTACCACGCCAGTCATCGCAGGAGCACCTTGGCATGTCATGTGCATCACCAAATCGTACTTCATAGATTTCGTTCGCTGAAGAGGATTTCACAGAGAAAACTCCCTTGTTTCCATCTTTGACATCTATATTGGAAAACAGTATGTCTTCGCTGGAGGTGAGTCTAGCTAAACAGTGTTTAGCCAGAAATCGTGGACGGTCATGAAGAAACCTTGGTATATCTTGGCTGTATTTCTTAAATCCACTTGATAAACGGCTGTTATTCTCGATGTACCTGCGAATTGCATCATTACATTCAAATCATTGCTAAACTCCTTATTGTGCATGCGTTCCATGATTTCCATTCWAGGCGCATATCGTTAGCTGACTATTATCBTAATATTTTTTTTTGTATCARGCTACAGTAGCTACAACACGCAGYTCTGCACCAGACCACACCCCAACCAGGGGCGTATCCCCCCCTACGAAAATTCTGTATACGCCCATATAACCCACAATACCACACCATATTACTTCACATTATTACATTACATATACCTCTCATACTTGTCTGGGAGATACTGATTGACTAGAACAGACATAAGCCCACTGAGTGAGCTGTCCTTGTAGTCTTTTAAGTAGGAGTGTTTTAATTCCCTGTTTTGCCTTTCAACACCATTGTTGGTTGTGATGATGACGTTGAAAGTCTCCGTTCGAAACGCCTTTGCCCACCTCTGTGTGAATAAAGAAGAAATGTAGTYACATACAAAATCAAGAGAGTTGAAGCTCTTTGCTTGTCGTTGTACCTTACTATCTTTAAGCCAAGTCTTCTCAAACCAATCTTGGACTTTCGGGTTTTGTTTCCAAACCGTACTGGCTTTTAGATCATCAACAGCTTGATTATACGCTGTCTCCGACGAGGATCTGGCGATTCTCCTTAAYCTTGAAAGAATTTCTGAACGATAATTTCTTACCCCATGGTCAGTTAGTGATACCCATCGTTCCCACGCTTGCTCYCGGTGAAAATCACATATATAAGCCTTACAACCTAAAAATACAATCCTAYGTTTATAATTTTGTTCAGTGTAGTTTCGATACATAGCAATGACGATGGTCATGGGTACCGATGGCAAACAAAAGCACACATGTCCTTTTTCTTGTTTCTACTTCATTATTGGGGTAAGAACATTGTATATTGATTATCTACAATTAGAAATGGTAATAAGTGACATATTTCACACACCTGTGAAAACACTCTCAATTGCATTAATTTCCTCGTCACATTTATCCACCATGAAGAACCTAGGTGACCATCCGGGATTCCATTTTCGGAGGATATCCAAGGCTTCTCGTATGGCGTCTGTAGTTTCATTTTGGACCACAAATGAACCCACTACTTGGTAATCTACGTTAGTTTTTACAACTAAAAAGAACAACGGCAAGGAGTAGCGGGTCGTTTTGTAGGTCGCGTCCAGAAGACACATTTCATTGCCATAGCGTGAAAGCAGCCTCTTTTGCCATTCTGTCTGGTGCACCAAAAGAAGTGAGTCTCCTGCAATTTCTTTATCGTTGATCTTGACATCTTCAGTAGTGCCTTCCGCTCCGTCTACATCAGTTTTATGTATTGACTCCTCATCTGCTTTCACGACAGCATACTTTCGGAAGAAAAAGGTCTGCAACTCATTTTCTTTTTGCCACTCCTTTATTTTTTCTTCCACATTGACTTGGTCAATTTTTGAAYACCTCAGCTTCACTGTCGCAGTGTATATGTGGTTCCTGATGTCTTTCATGCGAGGGAAGAAACGACGGTTGTCAGTTGAGGGTACAGCTTCGCCATTGAAAAGCTCTTTTTTTACATGACTTTTTAAGTGCCTTTTCATCTCTTTGGGGTTCCGCACACCTTCCGATACCAGTTCGTGGATTTTTTGAACCAGTCTAGGATCAACTCGGTGTGCTAGCTCTGCAACCTGCAAAGCAATTCACAATGAAGTGATATAATATTAGACGAAAATAATCATATCCTGATATACTTACACCGCCAATGGGATGATTTGAATGGCTTGATTTAGAGGGAAAACTGATGTAAAATCTTCTTTCATGACAAATACTCTTGTCGTTTTCAATCGCACGTTTCAGTGACACTGTCTGTTGCCTTTTACACCAGTCCGTCTTCTTCAAAGCCTATGGAAAAACATATAAATATCTTATAGACAAGTGGAGAAAGTTTAGCGGCATCATACTGACAGAAAATAAAATGTTTTTGTTTTGTGCTATGGCCTTATATGNAAAAAGAGTGTGTCCTGTATGTACTGTAACATAGAGATGTCTATAATATCTAGGTATTTTTATTTTATAATAACGTCATTTGTAATCTTGCCAAGGCTCTCATTGATAAACAGAATTAAAACCTCCTGAAGGGACTACCCACTATTCAAATAATGGTTTAATTCGTTCATTTTATTTAAAGCAGTTTGAATWTAATATTGCGTATAAATAWTATTATTCAGTCGTCTTTGTTCACTCACCTGGGCTTCCAAAACTTTTAGATTTCTTGTAGGTTGCGAATCGCGAACACGTTTTAATTTCATAATCTTCTACTAATCGTTCTACCTCTTCTATTGAAGAGGCAAAACCCTTTTCGCCTGACATATTTATTCAGTAGTGAACCACTGTAGAATGGTGACTCCTTTGACAACTCACCTCAAATTTCGCGCCAAAGCACTACGACCTTTGAACTTGAGCGCGCGTGACATTGATAATTCGATGTCAAAACCTCGGGCAGAGAGATTGCAAAGAGATAACGGTGGTGGATTTGCACTTTATGCAATCCTTCTCGGCGAGGTTTATTTCATCAGAAGAGTCTTTACAATGGAAAACGTTCCATTAATGAAATAACTAATAATACAACTTGTAATTTTTTTCATATCGTACAGAGAAAGCAAGAAAATACCCATACTAAGAACAAAATCAATGTAAACAAGACTTCCGGTGGTTTCGGAAGTACTCGTAAAGCCGAAAGACGAGATTCGTCGGACTTCAATCGTCGGAATATGAATAAATTAACGACCTCGGGGAGAAGGATTGCAAATAGTCCTTACCGACATTTTACTACTCAATAGAGCAAACTAAACTTTATAATTTATCAGTTATTATATTATTATTATTGATTTAGGGGTGTGCACTAGTGGGTTCCAGAACCCTACTTCCTTGGCAGACAAATTCATTTTCAGATTTTCCAACAGGTTGATTTAGTGTGAATCCAAAACAACACTCATGCGTGCCATTAATCACCTTATACACAGTCTTGAAACCCCTGGAACCCAGCTCATGAACTGCACACACCACCCTACACAATATAGTGTATGCACAGGTAGCCCAAACTTATTATCAGAGGACGATGACGTAATGTGTTGAACCGTTGATAATTTTTGAATTTTTAATTAGTTTCATAGAGGTAGGTTCGTAATAAAGCCTTCCAAAACCACTGAAAACTGTAAATAATTATCAGAAATCTCTCAAAAAGTTAAAATGATCATTAAATAACACGTCGCTCCGTCAGCTCTGTGCAGAGAAATATTTTTTCAAAGTTCGGAAAGTCGCTCAAAAATCTTCGGTGGGTATGCGTGTTCATCTRCTTTGCAAACATGAATCGACTCAGGGGGTGGACCTTAGTTATTTTCGACATTTTCTTCAACCTCAGGGGTAGGGTGAGGACGGCAGACGTTACTTGCCAAATGATAATGTATTCATTTTGAATCGCTAAAATAACTAAGGTCCACCCCCTCTGCACAGAGTTGACGAAGCGACACTCAGAATGATCGGTTGGGATGATGGTTTATCTGAAAATCACTGATAGGACTTTCGCTGTAAGATATTGAGCGTGTAGGGAGAAATAATTTTTTGATTGCGAGCGTTTGGAAGCCGCTTCGAGCGGGAGTTGCAAACCTTTCCTAAATATATGTACACTAGGAAGGGAGCGAATCTTCGAAGTGCTCAAAATCACTCCAGAGACGCTTTTATGTTAATATTACTAAATTAATGATCATTCTAACTTTTTGAGAGATTTCTGATAATTATTTACAGTTTTCAGTGGTTTTGGAAGGCTTTATTACGAACCTACCTTGAAACTAATTAAAAATTCCAAAATTATCAACAGTTCAACACATTACGTCATCGTCCTCTGATAATAAGTTTGGGCTACCTGTGGTGTATGTTGTCTTTGTCTAAATAAAAGTTTGAAAGACCACTTCCTATGTTTTTTCTAAGAGTGACATTACTGTACAATAGGCCATTTGCATTATGGCATAACTTTACTACAACNTGTGCAAGAAGTTATCAATATATTGTTTTAGATTTGGTGTTATTTTCTAAAATATAAGTGAAATTCTATTTTTCCTTTACCAAACAGTCAGAAATTTACTGTTAAAATTATCGCAAAAAGCCACAAATAAAAAATCTAAATAAAAAGTCACACCTTTCAAAAAGTATCGACGAAAGGCAAGTTTGTTACCCTAGGTTGAGAAGATCCGGACATGATCTTTCCTAGTCCAGTCCTGGCCTCTCATTTCAGACGCTCGCGGAATCGCTGGGGAAAGAGAGTCCAGTATAACTTGCATGCGCATGTCAGCTTAGCGACCTCGTGATTACCATGTGGTAATCACGAGGTTACCTAGTCCTATACAATTACCAAGATGGCGGAGAGCGAGGTGGAAGGTAGTTTCCACTTGAAATACAAAGATAATTTTGGACCGGCTTTTCTAAATAGAGTTTTCCGATTTAGCGGAATTCCGGCCGTATGCGGAATTTATTGTTCTAAGCGAGATGCTAGAACAATGGCAGATTGAAAAAGGATTAGCTTTTATCTCCTAAACAGGATAATAATGCTATACAGCTCCTGTTTGTTTGTGTTGTTTTGCGGTAGTGAAACTAACAGTTTTTCGAACTGCTATAATTCTGAGCAACTTTTTGAGTTCAATTTATACCTAGTGAATCATTAGTCATCCCTTGTTGGTGTGATCCAGAAGGGACACTTCATGAAATAATGTGTAATATCACAATCGCTTACACGGATTTATCGCATTGGTCTGATCCAATTTTGCATGCCGCTTTTCATTCGAAATCAGCGATCATTATTGACACATTAGTTCACACAGTTTTCTTCGTTAACATGTTTTATCATCTGAAAAATGCTGCTGATTTTGCCCCCCAGGGAAACAATTTAGAACAAAAGAAAACAGCCCGTTTTACGAAGCAAGGCTCTGTTTCACATAATCAGGCCCACGCGGCGATGCTTTTTCAGTTGTGCTATTCTAGTAATAATATTACTTGATACAACATTATTTATCTGGGCGTCACAACACCAAAACACCTTCCCAGGACCCAAACAACAATTATAAGACGTCGCTGTATTCTGGACGTAAGAAATCGAACGTTGTTGGTATTTGTTTGACTGCATACTCTTGCTTTTATCTTCGATATTTCAAAAAGTACACTTGCGGAAGAAATACTATAACACATTGCTCCAAAATTGTTTTCGAGATACAAGCACTATATTACGTCGCATACTCTTCAGAAATGGCAAAGTTTTCTTGGAATTAAACTTTTCAGCATTTCCCGAATGTTTTAGGCATGGTAGACGGCACAATTCATCGAATACATCGTCCTCTGTTCTGGTCCTCTTTTCGGGCACAGTTCTACTGTGGTGACAAGAAATGACATTTCACTATCACTTAACAAGTCGNAACTTGGCTATGGCATGTAAAAATGCAGTTTAATGCCAGATGTCCAAGGTCATGCCAAGACAAAAATCAAAATCTTGGCAGAGCATTCTCAAGAGCTAGGTGCCAAACATTTTTTGTTTTTGTTTTTGATAATATTTGTCTAGTACATGGGGTTGGTCACGTGACTTTTTATTTCACAAGGCTCGGTCGGAACTGGGAACTAGGTAACTCATGTCAATATGGCGGACAAACATGGCGGCCAAGGGGACAAGGGGAATACTCTGACGAAGTCAAAGAAATGCAGCTAAAATATTGTTTTCTTGTATAATTTTGTCTTGGTTGAGTGCACTTTTTATTGCTATGTTGGTTTTATCCATTTCTTTTGGAAAATCATCAATGTCGTTTCAAATTACAACCGGTATTTGAGACAATGCCGAAAGATTCTCTACAGATTTCAGGTAAGTTCAACCTAAGCTTTTTAAAATATACTTTAAACAAGCTCTAAAAAGGCTATGAAATAAAAAACATGTCATAACGTACCCCTGACAAGTAATGCGAAACTGGTTAGCCGTAACGCCAAGATTAATTCGTCATAAGCTGAAGTTAAGCTTACATTTATTGCATATTCTTCTCTACTACAATACGCTTAAGTTATCAATTGCCCAGCCAAAACTACATAGATATTTGAAATATTAAGTATCAAGTACCTAACTGTTTACAGCTCTTCAGATAAACCATGTCTAAAAAAGTTTATGCATAGATCACTGATCTGCCAAATTGTTTAACTCCCTGTTAAACTGCATTTTTATTGTTGCTCATACAGATATTATCACAAGTCTTGAACTCTGTTCTACATTTGCTCCACCTTCACTGTTAGATGATGACTGCCAGCCTGCTCAAACTGAAAAGACATGGGCTTGAAAGGAAATAGCCTTGTCTACAAAATCCACATTTTAATCATTTTTTAAATGTACAGTGTCTATTATGTTTTAACAAATACAAATATAAAGAATCAATAAATTTATTTTTGATTTTAATGAAAGTTGCATAAAACAATTGGCCTATGGCATAATGACGTCACAGTATGTTTACATAGTGGATAGATGACCAGAAAGACTCGAAATTTGGACCTTATAAACATTTTTTCTGAAAGTAGAACTTTTGTGTATCAAGTTTTAATGTAAATTATTTATCAATGATTGCTCATCTACATTTTATTTGATTTGCAGTCACTCTGATCCCCTCTGGCGACCATAATCCTTAGCGTTAAACAATAGAATGTTTTGGTGTGACGTAATTATGCGATAGGGCAATAGCAGTTTGGGACAAATCTGCTGCTTGACCTGATCAGATCTTGATGTGACATTTGGTATAATTGTCATAGAATATATCAACTCACACTTCTATCTCTTTACTCCGACCTGAAACTGTTGTGTTCAGATAACATCCACAAGTGTTTGGTCAAACTCCAACTTAATAATTTATTCACCAAAGGTATCCCAATATGTTTTTACATTAGAAACGCAGAAAGTTATTTCACCTACTTTTTTTATGGTGTTAAATTTGTAATGTTTACAACATGAGCGGCCGTGTGGTATGGGATTTCGGCTCGAGATTGTAAAGCCCATTCAACACGGARGCGAATCTTTTATGTCAAATGATTTCCTTTTTTATTGTACCAGCATAATTGAAATAACATTTAATGATCAACTGTAGATGTTTCAAGTCACTGCAAAAATGGGATTGGTACACACTCCCTATAGTGTTAGTTCCAAGAATGCACTTTTTATAATGTAAATGAACCCTCCTAGAAGTCCATCTATGTTTAGCGGTTGTAGGTAGTGATAGATGCCATAAGTTACAGTAACTCACAAAGGATCTGAATTGCTCATTTCTGATTTACTTGTGTCTCCTTTTTTGGAAAATTAAGATCAGGATTTGATATTGAGGTCCGTAGATAGTATAAGTAGTTGTTATTCAGTAGCATTATCTTGTCTAATGTATAAATTTAGACATACTTTATTGAATGCTTAATCCAGACCAGTAATATTGCAAGTTTCACATAATTGAAAATAAGAAGAAAAGAAAGGTAAGATTAAAGAGAAAAACAAAAATCTAAGACAAATCAAAAGTAAAGAAGTAAAGAATTAGCATAAAACAGTCCAAAATACAGTTTATGTTTCATACTTTTACTGCAGAGTACATCAGCAAAATAATAACTATTTAAAAAAAACATGCATGAAGAACAAATATTATGATAAACAGTTCTCATACCAATTTCTATTGATAATGACATCTAATGACAGTGCATATACAAAAGGTAATTAAAAACAGTTTGGTTATGCTGTTTGARGATCAGTTTATATGTTATTTTATTTGTTTGCTGAAGATCAGGCCTATAGTGCCAAAACATCCTTTCAACCATATTAAGTTTCTTACTTCATTCTGCTTTGTTATATTCATTATAAGTATTAAAAACAGCAATAAAAGAAGTGCATTAAAAGTGAGGAAACCCAAAGTGAGCTAGACAGGTATGAAATGTAGTATCAAGCAAATTTCTGTATCAATAATTTTGTATTTTTGTCTCTGCGTAATCCACCAAACAGATATTTGTCAATTTCTCATCTGACAACAAATGTTTTACTTGATGAACTATTTAGTAATAATGCAAGAACAGAGGAAAGAACAATTAAATTATAACACATATAACTTGTATGGATGTACACATTGAAGTATATGAGGTACTAGCTATTTATTAATGAAGTGTCAGGTTTTAAGCCAGTTTATATCACTATCAAAAATGCTCCTACAAGTGTGCTGATGCTATAATCTTAAAAAATAGAAAAATAGTTATTAAGAGTGCAAAAATAAACTTTTAAAATAGTGCAGATTAAATAATGCTGATCAGAAAATTTAGAAAACAATAAGCTTATATTAACTTTTTTGTTGTATCTGTTTCACAAAAACTATATGTCTAGAGTGGTGTACATATTGCTTCTTTTGGGTCACATAAGTATCGCATCAATGGTCTACACAGGTCTTCTTCACAAACTAGTCTAAAATGTAAAAAGTTACTGAGGTGAAAAAGTTCGACAAAGTGTCAAAACAGTGACTCGCAAGTCATCGCTTTAGACCCTTCAAAATAACTGAAAGACTGACTGTACGTTAACTTTCTTGGTATCTTCTACACCAGCAAACGTCAAAAGAACGACTAACTTTTCTTAGACACCACATGTTGCCGATAACGTCGATAACGTAGCTTCAGAGTTTGAACTAGTTGCTTTACACATCTCTTCGATACCACCTTTCAGCCGCCATGTTGACATGAGTTCCCCAGCCAATCACGTTCAATGATGTAAAAGCGCGCGGTAGCCAATCAGAATCGAGAATGAAAATCCTATGTACTAGACAATAGAGTGCTTTTCACACAGGATATGGCGCACCTAT